TTCCCCTCTCCTTAAAAAAACAACAATTTCAAATTCCAATTCGACAAGGAATCAAAGAAGACGTTATCGAATTGAATACTTTCAAATTTACGCATTGGCTTGTTTCCCTCCTTATTTTACTAATTTCGAGTCTATTATCCAGTCCAGATTAATTTTAGGAAAAGTTGCTAAGTTTGGTGATCATAGATTGAACTGTTTTGAAGTTATTCAACTTTTTAGGGGGGGACTCAAAACCCCCGTTCACCCCACGGTCTGAATCAGGGGTAAAGACTAACGTTAAGCAGTAAAGAAACCAAAGGTTTGGAAATTACCACTTTTGATAAAATGCGCACATATTATTCTTAATACGAGGAATATGGTGCTGGTAGCTAAAACATGGTGAAAATTTACTATTTATTTATTATCATTTTTTCTCAAATATCGATAAAACTTTAAAGCATGATTGTTTTTATTGATTTCTTTCAAGTTATTAGCTTCAGTTATTGGTTTTCAGTTGACAATCCTATTACCAGGAGAGAATAAGCTGCTGTTACACAATAATTTTTACTGATTCCTAGATAGAGTTGATGTTTCTTGACTTAAACACGCGCAAAACCTTCTGGTTGTGGCTTTCACTACTTGTCGTATTTCTTTGATTCTCCAGCAGTACAGGAACGGGTTTAAAGACGAGTTTAGGAAAAGGAGAGTTGTAGTAAAATGATAAAGAAAATAAATATTAGGGTGAATACCCTTTAGATGAATCAAAGTATTGAAAATATTAAATGGAAGATAGCATATAACTAATGCCAGCTGCACCAAAGCTACGCTTACAACCGTCCTCTTATATCGTTCTAAGTTCAATGGACTTCCTAATGTGTTCGCTCGTCCTTCCTGGGCATTGTCTCGTACACTGGACTGATGTTGCCGAAGTCTAAGGACGATCTTCGTGTAAGAAAACAGCGAGATAATGAGACAGAGTGTCAAGAAAATTGTAATTATAATCCCGGCGGGTTTTGTCCTAAAATTCCAAACCAACACAGTCAATAGGAGGGCTAAACAACCGCTGGCAAGAACTGCACGAATTCGCTTCAATGTTACAACGTGTCTGTACCCCAAAAACAGGGCGAGAAGTCTGTCCACACTCAGGGCAGTTGATGCAAAAACCGATACTCCACACAAAGTAATGGATAAAGAAGAGTGTAGTTGGGAACATATCTTCCAAATTTCGATGTCAATGTTATCAGTCAGGAGAAACAGGGTGGCCATGAGTGGCTGGGAAATGAGCCCAACGCCAAGATCAGTGATTGCCAGGCATTGAAATAACAGTTTTGTCGGCGGATGAATAGAAATCACTTTACGAAGAGCAATCAGGATCAGAATGTTGCCCAGAGATGCCGTGATGGAGAAAAGAATATTAGCAGCTGCTATTGCAATGATCTCTATACGTATGCTTGCAGAAAGCGGTGTCTTCATCACAGTGACGTTTGCGCCTTCCGTCAAGTTCACCATTTTTCTTGCTGTTATTGAGAGACGAGGTCCCTTACTTTGACTGCTTCACAAAAAGTGTTCTTTTCCGCTATGACGCACAAGGTTTTTATGTTGTATAAATGGCGTTTGTTTATTTAACATACCAATCAGAAACGTAGTAACATAAAGTTGACAGGTCTGCATTATTAGTAAAAGTATCGCAACTCTGTGGTAAGTAAAAAAAAACTCTTATTGTTAGACTCCGTGACAAGTATTAAATTAATTTTATTTTGTCAGACTCCAACAAATTTATAAATTCCCTAATGCTTAAAAGGATACCGTTTACGTCTAACGGCAAACTAGAATTTGTACCATGTGGCACGTTTCCCCCTTATCTTGATGTTTGCGGTTCATTCAGTTATTAATATAAATTAGTAGTTTCATGCAATTTTTTATCTATAAGAATTATTTTGAGCTGTTTTCATACTATGTAGGAAGGATGAACGAGACTATTTTTCTCGAAACTTTGTGTGCATATTAAGGACAACAACTCGCCACATAGTAAGTTTCATCGATTTTTATTTCCATTTTCTAGCAAATTTCCAGACCTAAACTTCGCCACATATGTTCTCTATATTTACATAGGGAACACACGCTCTTATTAGTAAACTGCAAATGGAAATTAAATAAGAGATAAAATCTCACCTGTGTTGTTTTATCCTCGAATCTGCTGTGGTGCGAAGTGAAATGGAAGTTGTTTTACGATGCGAAAACGATGTTCAATTCGACGCTTTGACCCAGACTTGGCTTTGGCTTTGACCGTTGTTGATTTTACAATGCTTTATTGGTTTGGCTCGCATTTCAGTGTTGGTGTCAGGCACCGGTTGTTATTATCGTCTCGCGTTTCATCGTTGGTTAGTAATTTATATTATTATTATTTATTAATTTGATAATAACAACCGGCGCGTGACACCTACAGTGAAATGCGAGCCAAACCACATCTAGCCTCCCACGCAGGCGTTTTTAGGGGAGCTCGTATTTCTTTCCTCCTCACAAACGCCTGCTCAACGGAAAACAACATTCCTTTCTCATTGTTTTATTTGCGTGGTAAGTGACCAATCAACAATTGTGCAATAAAGTGTTGACAGGCTAAACACGACTGAACGTGACCCTAGAGTTACCGTTTAATTTTCAATCTTTTCTTTCCTTCGCTAAGGTTATGCAGTGCACGGAGTATTCTGAATTTTGACTAAATCTTATTTTTGCCGCTCTGAATCTAACATTTATTGCAGGTCAGAAAGCTTTCGCAGTGTTTAATGCAGATCGAGTAATTATCAGATTACCTTGCGGTCAAGGTCAACTTTCCAGATTTGGAAAGTACAATGTGATTGGCTAAGCCTTGGAAAGGAATGTTGTCTTCAGTTGAGCAGGCGTTTGTGGGGAGGGAAGAAATACGAGCTCCCCTAAAAACGCCTGCGTGGGAGGCTAAACCACATCAAGCATTGTGAAATCAACAACGGTCAAAGCGTCGAACTGAACATGGACCACACATGAGAGACGTAACACACATTTTAAGTAAGGTAAGCTGTTTTTTATTGAAATCCTTTCATTTTCGTAGGTTACAGAAACGATGGGCTTTTTTCCCATACAAATCCTTAAATTTCGAATGCTACGCAACAATGCCGATGTTCGCCGATGCTCATATTTCAAGCTTGGGCTGCCTGTGGTTACAGACCTTAATTTTCCTCAATTAATTGTTTGCTTACTTGGCGCACGACCTTGACCAACATTCTAATTTGGAAGCAATACCAGCTGAAAAGGAAGTTATTCAGAGATCTTAAGAAATTGCTTTTCAAATTACGAAAACCATTTGTTTGATAGATGACCTACGTAGAAGGCTTGTTTAATAAATAAAGTCAAGAGACTATAAAGGGGACAGAGAGGGCATCCCCCATTTACACCCTATTCCATAGGTAATTCGTCTCGAGTTATTTTTAACACCACAGATCTCAAGGGGGATTAGACAACAGCCAATCACATAGCGCGAATGTGCTCCGCGTGGATGACCCACGCTGAGAGCCACGCGTCCTTCACGAAATGACGCGGAACAAAATGGGGGAAGACGCGGAGAGCGATTTTGCTATTCCTTTTGTCGACGAAAACGACTACAGCGAGATTTCTGCGAAAGCTGTGTCAGCGAAACCGAATCGCCCTTCCTCTCTTGTATAGAGCTAACAGTAGAGCAGGGAAATCCTTAACACACTGAATATTCTCTCAGGATCATTTATAATTTACAGTTTGAAGAGAGCAATTTCTGGTTTGATGTTTATTTTTTTCAGTCTTTATAGCGATTATTCCTACCCACTTAATTTGTCAATTGTAGGCGAACCCTCCTAAAGCTGAATTTCAAGGGACCATATTCAAGCTCAGAAAGAGAAATGAAATTTCGTCGTTGCTTATTTACGTCCTCCATAAAACGCGAAATTAGGCATTTTCACGTCGTAGTCGTGCAAAAACGGGAAGATCAAGATTGCCAATTTTTTACCGTATTTCTAACCAGAAAAACTTCATCCCAGAATATCTCGATAACGCTCTTACAGATTTCGCTTAAACTTCACGAACATCAAGGCAGCTATCGTAGGTAAAAGCTCCAGTAAACGATTTTGGAGGAACAGTTCCCAGTGCCGAGAAATACTGCTGCAAGTAAAATAGGTAATAGCGTCATTTCGTTGCTATGACAACTCCGATGTCATTGCGACCCTGATTATAACCAATTTTCTTCTTTATCTAATACAACTGTGGTGTCAATTTTTCCAAATCCTTGTTTATGGCGACGCAGTTTACGCTCAAACTTGGGAGGTATTGACCTTGAAAAACTATATCGAGCCACCTTAAAGTTGTCTCCATAAATTTTGGCATGAGATAGGTCACGTGAACCCAGATGCAAAAGCGCATCCCAGGCGAACACAAACGTTTTTCCGGTCGTTGTAGCTTGCGTAGCAGGCGCTTGGAAGTAGTGGGCGCAAGAAAGAACGGGCACGCGAGTGAGAGACGCGCGCCCGTTCTATCTTTTCCTCCAAGCGCCTACTACGCAGGCTACGGTCGTCGCTTCAGGAGTCATTTCAGGTACGGTTGAGTGTATGATCGTTGGGGTGAACGTAGTCCTGAATAGGACTGTTGTTGACAGTGACCGACGTTCGACAACCTGTGCGGTACGTCAGTTGATCGTGTTTTTCAGTCTAGTTGACTACAAATTGGTACAAAGGAAAATCCATATCAATATTTAGACCCTATACAAAAAAGTCAGTTTTTATGGACTAAGACGAATACAGTTAAGGACAATAAAAACGCAAAAAAGAACGAGGCCAACATCCTGGCATCTCGACCGAAAAAGCTTGGTCAAAAAAGGAGTTGTAAACAATCAAGAGAGCCCAAATTCCCTTTCCCTTCCTTTTCAAACGCCTGCCAGGCAGGCTAGTAAGAGAATAGGGAGCTTAAACAACGACGACGGCGACGGCAACGAGAACGGCAAAAAAAAAAACAATAGGTTTATATTAGCAAAACAACAACTTTGACGCTTTTTTTGTACATTTCTTAGCCCTCACTGTACGCGAGTACAACGTGAAAGTGCCTTATTACACGTGTTGACGCGAGGACGGGAATAAAAGACAACAACTTTCTTTTCTTTCTCTTTTCCTCAACTTTGATACAGTCCTTTAGAGTTTAGAGCGGTTTTCACTTGACTGTCGTAAAACCAAAACCAAAGTAAATGCACTAGTCAACCAAAGGGCGTAGTAAAACCAAAACCAAAACCAAAACCAATCCCTTTCGACAGTCAAGTGAAAACCGCTCTAACTCCGAAAAAAATTGACATTTGACGAATTAAATGAGATGGAACGTACAAGCGTGATAAAGTTCTAGGCAACGCGGATTCACAAGTAACGCTTTCGTAGCCGTCGCCGACAACAACGCCGACAACAACAAAAAAAGAGTTGAGCCTATTAGAAGATCTTGATATTCCATTTTAGCTATTCGCAGAGTCCCTTCAAGCTAAGCCAAAATAGATCATTCTCTCTTGGCCAAACGTATTTCCGATCCCCCCACTAACTATAAACAAAGATATTTAAAAAATGATACAGTTTAAATTAAACGAACTGAAAGCCAAGGGACTGGGAAAGAGCTCTAAGAAAAAGGGGCACAGCAGCAAAAGACTGTTAGCTCCTAATTAAATTTTCACTTCATTGTGATTGGTCGATAAGGATCGGAAGCACTCAGGGTGCTTGCATGTGGTGCAAAAAGTGTTGTCACGGAAGTTCACCGCATGGGATGAATCCGACTGATAAATTGTGAAGGAGAAAATGTACTCGCAATCCGAAACGGTGAAACGCTTTCACGCCAAACCTCAATGGCAACAGATACTAGCTGTTAGCACTTTTCTAGGTAAGTAATTGTAAGAAGTCTAAATCAGCAAACAGCTTTAGTTGACGTACAAACTAAGCATAGTACTTTACAGTTATCTACCACAAATGGTATACGTAGAGTTCTTGCACTGAAAGTTCGCTTTTAAGACACAAATTCAAACGAATTTTTAACAACTTTAAGTTACTGGTACTTTCTGGTTGTATTTGACTCCCTCGTTATCTAGTACTAAGAATCTGATTTGTATGCAAACTTGTCGTTTTACTTAGCGTTGTTTATAGGGCTATCCCACACCTATTTGAAAGATTGTTTTTGATTAGGTGGGAAAACAATAGGGATTGTCACATAACAATGCCCTTGTCCCTGAAAACAAAGGAAGTGCAGATTAAAGGGGACCAGTGAAATATGCGGTTTAGAGCGGTGCAGGTCTACTGTGTTTGTACTGATGTAACTAATGGAAGAAGCCGTACATTCCTGAGTTTCAGCAGCTTTCGGTAGACTGCAGAATTTAGGGACTCAAGCTATTGAGGCGGCAAAGACTAATCATCGATCGACCTTTCTTTTATAACCTAACGGATTTTTGCCACAGAGATTTTGATCTTATACTGCACATAGACTGCGAGCATCGGCCCGTAGAGCAAAAGCGTAAGAAACGCATATGAGCACGTGCGTGACTGAAAGCGCGAGACGGGAGAGGCACTCCCTTAATAAATCTAAAGAATTTATGACTGCTCGCAGTCTATACTGCAAATAACAAATTTTAGTATCTTCTAGATGAAGCTGTGGTGACATCTTATATTTTCTATATCTTTGTATAGGCAACGTAGTTAAGGCTAAAAATTGGGAGGTTCCGGCCAATAAAAATCCAGTGTAGCCACTTTAAACTAAAAAACCTCTGACCCAGCCTCGTACCCATACGTCTCTCTCTCAATAAAATTTTGGGCGTAAAGGAAGGCGGGGAGTAGAAATCGTGCCTCTTGTTTTTCTTCTTTTTCTTTCTCGTTTTCCCATACATTTTGTCATCAGTCACTCGCGTGTTACTCGCCTTTCTCGCTCGCCACTTTGCGTAAAACGAAGTGCCTGAGGAGGAGACAGTCCCCGAACCACAAAAAAAGTTGCAGGCCTGAAAATTAAATTCACATTTCGCTATTTTCACATAGAGCAAAATGCACAAAGTTCACCCCCCAAAATTTTGCATAACCTTTGTTTCCAATTTCTCCTGGGTATTACAGTCGTCCCAAGGGAGATCGAAGACAATGGTTATGCAAAATTTTATTAACTTCGAGTCTATTATCCAGCGCAGATGAATTTTAGGAAAAGTCGCTAAGTTTGGTGGTCAAAGATTGAACGGTTTTCAAGTTATTCAACTTTTTATGGGGGGGACTCAAAAGCACCCCCTCCCCCTCCCCCACTCACCCCACGGTCTGAATCAGGGGTAAAAATAAAAAAAAAAACAATCCAGACTAACGTTAAGCAGTAAAGAAACCAAAAGTTTGGAAATTCCCTCTTTTGATAAAATGCGCACATATTATTCTTAATACGAGGAATATGGTGCTGGTAGCTGAAACATGGTGAAAATTTGCTCTTTATTTATTATCATTTTTTGGCAAATGTCGATAAACCTTTAAAGCATGATTGTTTTTATTGATTTCTTTCAAGTTACTAGCTTCCGTCATTGGTTTTCAGTTGACACTACTATTACCAAGAGAGAATGAGCTGCTGTTACACAATAATTTTTACTGATTCGTAGATAAAGTGGATGTTCCTTGGCTCAAACAGGTGCAAAACCTTATGATTGTGGCCTTCACTACTTGTCGTATTTCTTTGATTCTCCAGCAGTACAGAAACGGGTTTAAAGACGAGTTTAGGAAAAGGAGAGTTGTAGTAAAATGATAAAGAAAATAAATATTAGGGTGAATACCCTTTAGATGAATCAAAGTATTGAAAATATTAAATGGAAGATAGCATATTACTAATGCCAGGTGCACCAAAGCTACGCTTACAACAGTCCTCTTATATCGTTCTAAGTTCAATGGACTTCCTCCTGTGTTCGCTTGTCCTTGCTGGGCATTGTCTCGTACACTGGACTGATGTTGCCGAAGTCTAAGGACGATCTTCGTGTAAGAAAACAGCGAGATAATGAGACAGAGTGTCAAGACAATTGTAATCATAATCCTGGCGGATTTTGTCCTAAAATTCCAAACCAACACAGTCAATAGGAGGGCTAAACAACCACAGGCAAGAACTGCACGAATTCGCTTCAGTGTTACAACATGTCTGTACCTCAACCCCATAAACAGGGCGAGAAGTCTGTCCACACTCAGGGCAGTTGATGCAAAAACCGATACTCCACAAAAAGCAATGGATAAAGACCCCAGTAGATGGAAAAACAAGACACTCCAAATTTTGATGTCAATATTATCAACCAGGTGTATCAGGGTGGCCATGAGTGGCTGGGAAATGAGACCAACGCCAAGATCAGTGATGGCCAAGCATTGAAACAACAGTTTTGTCGGCGGATGAATAGAAGTCACTTTGCGAAGAGCAATCAGGATCAGAATGTTGCCCAGAGATGCCGTGATGGAGAGAACAATATTTACAGCTGCTATCGTAATGTATAAACCTACACCTATGTTTGCAGAAAGCAGTGTCTTCATCTTGCCTTCCGTCAAGTTCACCATTTTTCTTGCTGTTATTGAGAGACGAGGTGCCTTACTTTGACTGCTTCACAAAAGGTGTTCTTTCCGCTATGACTCACTAGGTTCTTATGTCGAATAAATGGCGTTTGTTTTCTTAAGTTGACAGGTCTGCATTATTAACAAATGTTTCGCAACTCCGTGACAAGTGAAAAATAAATTTCTCTTGTTAGACTCCGACAAATTGATAAATTTGTTATTTGCAACATATTATGCAGGTCGAGGAGCGTGGGTTTAGTTGCGCAAACGTCGTCATATTTTCCTACCAGTCAATTTATATTTATAGTAAGCCAACATGTTCAATTAGCGAGAACGCTGCTGAAAACTAGGGTCTTTCTTTGCTGAGAACGAGCGCCGTAAGAACATTACAAATTCGTGAACATAGTTCTGAATTTTTTACATTTTAAATGCATTTTACATTTTACATTTTTAGATGCAATTTCGATTCACAACTAGCTCCAACATATATTAAAACTTAAACTAATCGAGTGTTTGATTTGTACGTTCGTGCGTCTTCGCATATTTTGATGAAATCTGCTCATATACTGAAAAGGATACCGTATGTAAGGATATACACCCCTCTTAACAGAAAGTAACTGGCTGAGGCACTTGTTTGAATGAATTCATGGTATCCCCAAAAGAGTAATTCGATGAAACGAGAACTGAATTTGCGAAAGCTTTGCGCTTCTTTTAATTCTCAGTGATATCTTGATATTTTAATTTTTTTCTTAGCATATTCTTAGTTCTCCGTTATTGAAAATTTTGATTCTTAACCCGTTAACTAGGATCATCCGACCACAGGAAAGATCTTTAGCCAGCTTAAAATTTATCATCTTTCCTTATTTAACTAATTTGCAGTAGACAGTATGAGAACAACAGCATCAATAACTGATTTTACTGAGACCAATAAAAAATGAACTTTTAGTATTTTAGAGTCTTAATTTACGTATTGTAATAATTTATCAGATTTAAGAATTTTGTTTATTATTATTGTTATTATTTATTTTTTTCTATTATCTCAATAGAGCAACTCTAATAATTCGAGTTGAAATCAAGTGTATATGTACAATATATGTTCAGCCTTTATTGTTCAATAGGCAGAAATTACATTCAGATTAATTCAGGGACTAAAAATGAATTTTTTTTGTTTTATTCCCGTCGGTGTTGGAGCCAATAATGGATTTTGATCATTTGAAACTACAGTCGACTCCCGATAACTCGAACCTTCTATGGAAACCGAAAAACGTTCGAGTTATCGTGAGATCGAAACAAATAACCGGAAATAAGCAAATGGATGGGGAAGGAACGCAAGTATCATGCATACTTCACTTCAAAGGCAGCAAGAAATAAAGATTGATACTGTGAACAAGGAATTTTAAAAGCAACAACGCTTGATATGACACAGGGGAATGGACAATGAATTTGAACTGGAGTGACAAAAAATAAAGGCGGACAAAAAATTGACACGGTTGTTTTCAATTGAATCGAATGCAATGTTTCGGATTTCAGTACACCGTTTTTTTTTAATGACATAGAAATGATCTGAAGAGAAGCAAAAATTACTTCGAGTTGGCGGGAGGTTCGAGTTATCTGGAGTCAACTGTATTCTATTCAAAGTGAAGATTCTATGTGAGACGTCGCCGACATATATTGCTTCGATAACATATTGTCAGGTTACAGACCTTAATTTACCTCAATTAATTGCTTGCTTATTTGGCGCAGGACGACCTTAACCAACATTCTAATTTGGGAACAATGCCAGATGAAAAGGAAGTCATTAAGAGATCTTAAGAAAAGCTTGTAAAATTACAACAACAGTATGTTTGATAGCTAGATGACCGAAGTGGCAGGCTTGTTTAATAAAGTCTGTGAGACTACAACTTCTCTGTTGGCGCTATGATGATAAATTCAACTACGCGCTTAGGAAAAAATAAACGTAAAACTTATAAGTGATCAGGAATAAGTTTGTTAGGTCAGTTACGCTATTATGAGAAAAATTGCTTAACTGCAGGGCGGGCGACGATTTGCACCGAAAAGGCGACCATAGACAAATTTCCTATTTCCTAGTTTACAATAAAGGCGCACGCGTTAACAATGTTCCCTTTGTACCAAAGTGTATTTATTCGTGTCATAAGTCTCGCTGTTGAGAAATCAAAAGCCTAAAAATCGATAGGCCGATTATACTTTCAGTTCTCTTTCCATCTATATTTTTTTAAAAGTTGTGTCCATAAATTTTGGCATGAGATAGGTCACGTGAACTCAGAAGCAAAAGCTCTACCAGCTTAGCTCTCTCTCTCGGGTGGAAAACCAATTAAATTTATTCTTTTTTATTTCTCGTCAAGCGCTGTTCTTTTTAGAAAATTGCTTACTTTTGATGAAACACGACAGGATTAGCTCTCTAGCTTTACATTTACGCCAAAAACTCCTCACCTTCAAAAAAGCTCTCTTGTTAAAAAAGTTCTAACAAAGTCTACTTCGTCAGTCTACTTAGCTTGACTACAAATTGTACAAAGGAAAATCCATATCAATACTTGGAGCCTATACAAAAATGTCATTTTTTAACACTTTTGTTGGTAAACCTGTCTTAATTCAACATGTTATGTTGCTGAGAGTTTAGATACGACTTGCGTTAAGAAAGCTTATAAGCAACGACGACGGCGACTTCAACGAGAACGGCATAAAAGCAATAGGTTCAGATAGGCAAAAAAAAAACAACAAAACAACTTTGCACGTGCATCACGCTTTTTTGTACATTTCTTTTTCTTTTCCTGAACTTTCATCAGTCCTTTGGAATTCAACCCCCCCAAAAAAAAAAAAAAAAAAAATTTGCCAATAAACCATTAACGTTTGACGAATAAACTAGATGGAACAAGCGCGATAAAGTTTGAGGTAAAGCGAATTCACATTTCAAGCGACTGACGTTTTCGTGGCCGTCGCCGTCCTTGTTGCTTTATTAGTGAGTTTACGCAACAGGACGGCAGGAAGAAGAGGACGGCAAAACAGTTGTGTGTGACAAACGGGACAAGGCTATTACCTGTGGGTTTTGTCGTGATCTTCACTTAACACCAAGGTTTTCTGGTCCATTACAAAAAGATCTGTTTAAAGGAAAGTGAAGTTTGGCGAAAAGTTGTTTCAAATAAAATTATTGTCACGCTTGTCACACAAGGTTTGCCGTCTTCTTTCCTCTTCCGTCCTGTTGCGTAAGTTCACTAATCTCCCTAATGCCACATATTATATCATGTAAACAACCGAAAAAGAGTTGAGCCTATACTAAAGATCTTGATATTCCATTATAGCCATTCCTAGAGTCCCTTTAAGTTAAGCCAAACGTATTTTCGATCAAAAAAAAAACGCAGGTACAAAACTAAGATACTGTTATTTTGGGCCTGTCGAGGAGTCGAACCCGGGACCTCTCGCAACCTAAGGGACGGACCATTAGAAAAGTGATGGGGGGAGGGGGGTGGGGAAAAAACCCAAAAAAAATTCATGCAAGGGAAAATGCCAAGAAAAAAAATTCATGCAAAGGAGAAGGTAAAGAAAAAAAATTCATGCAAAGGAGAAGGTAAAGAAAAAAATTCATGCAGAGGGAAGGTCCAATTGTGACTTTTTCAGAAAGTCTGAGTTTCAGAAATCAACAATATTAACAGGCACAATATGAATAAACAAAAATCACTTTCTTCTTATGAAAGGAGACAATTAGAACCTTGTTTTTGTTTTAAATTGCAGCTGGTGTACCTACAACATACACTGTATACTGTATTATAATAAAAATAATAAAATAAAATTTGTAATAAATAAATATTAGAATTTGGTAGCTTTGTAAATATTCTATAAAATTATTTGTGCCCACAAAAAGATACACCTACGCTATTGGTCACTTTTGCAGCCAATGGCAAGTTAGTATTTTCGATCCTAGCCACCAGTATTTAAACAGCCTGCTTAGCTCTTTGTAACTAAGACTTTACCATAGTAGCAACTGACGAGGAACGCTATGGTTCCGAAACTGCAGTCTTGCGTAAGAATTCATAGCAGTCGCATAGACGACTGTTAAGCAAAAACTTAAGTAAATACCTACGAAGGAACAACAAGACATCGCGCTCTAGTTCAAAGACTCACTTATGTTAAGAAAAACTAAATGGACTGTGTGGGCGCTAAGAGAATTATCTTGACTGACGCACGGCATATTTCTCCAAACTTGGTGTAACTTTAGTTTTAGCTACAGTGTACAACTCAAATCTGAAGATCGCACTGTCCGTGGAAATTCAAAATCCTGCAAACCACACTATAGAGCTGAGCCCAGAGTCACACTCACATGGCAGGAAATAATCACATTCACGGACAAAGAAACTTGTATTCATGCATATAGTTATTCAGGTACAGTCATTTCTGAGAAAACCAAAAAAACTAAAATCTTTATTCAGCCGTAATAAACAGAGTTCAAAGGATATAAAACACTTTACAACTACATCTGAAATCAAATCCTATCAGGGACACCTACAGAAGCATAAACCACAGGAAATGATTACTAAGTATGCATGCAACAAACCGGCTTCATGACCTCTAAATATAAGACTTAGTGCGGAAAAAACAAGATTTACTCAGTCAAAGTTTAGAATGCTACACGTCTTGCACTGTGTAGTGCTAGTAAACTTCGCGCGAGAGAAAAAAAGAAAGAGAACCACTGTTCAAGCAGACTCTCAAGGTCACGGTTCACATTATCACGAGCTTATGAGTTGTGTTTGGCCTATCAACGCTTATTTCTTGCTATTTTGATGAATGGAGTATGGCATCATTATGATGGGCTGTAGGAGAGGAATTCCAGAGAGCAGGGACTGAAAAAATGCACAGGGAAGCCGTCCACTCCAAGTGGCTTCCTCCTCTCTCACTGTGTGTACATTTTCGAAAAGATTTTGCATTAAAGTGGCCTGTATCCTTTGATCTGTTGTGAGTGTAGAACAATTTATAAAGCACAAAAACATAGATAATAAATCAAGATTTCACTGTTCAAAAAAAAAGCAATATTTGTCTGAAAAAAAAGTTCGTGCAGAGGGGTTCACCTGAACAAAAAATTCCTGCACAAGCAGTGAGCGAAAAAAAAATTCGTGCAAGCTGAAAATTTCCCACAAAGTTGCTAAGTTTGGTGGTCATAGATTGAACGGTTTTGAAGTTATTCAACTTTTTAGCCCCCCACCCCACGGTCTGGATCAGGGGTAAAAATAAAACAAAACAATCAAGACTAGCGTTAAGCAGTAAAGAAACCAAAAGTTTGGAAATTACCACTTTTGATAAAATGCGAACGAATCATCAGGGAGGAATATGGTGCTGGTAGCTGAAACATGGTGAAAATTTACTATTTATATATTATCATTTTTTCTCAAATATCGATAAACCTTTAAAGCATGATTGTTTTTATTGATTTCTTTCCAGTTATTAGCTTCAGTATTGGTTTTCAGTTGACACTACTATTACCAAGAGAGAATGAGCTGCAGTTACACAATAATTTTTACTGATTCGTAGATAGAGTGGATGTTTCTTGACTTAAACACGTGCAAAACCTTCTGATTGTGACTTTCACTGCTTGTCGTATTTCCTTGATCCTCCAGCAGTACAGACACGGGTTTAAAGACGAGTTTAGGAAAAGGAGAGTGGTAGTGTAATAAAGTAATATCAAATCAATACCAGGGGGAATACGACCCAGTTGAATCAAAATAAGGCAAATATTAGAAGGAAAATAGCATGTAACTAATGCCAGCTGCACCAAAGCTATGCTTACAACAGTTTTTTTATATCGTTCTAAGTTCAGTGGAATTCCTCCTGTGTTCGCTTGTCCTTGCTGGACATTGTCTCGTACACTGGACTGATGTTGACGAAGTCTAAGGACAATCTTCGTGTAAGAGAACAGCGAGATAATGAGACAAAGTGTCAAGAAAATTATAATTATCATAATCCTGGTTTTTGCCCTAAAATTCCAAACCAACAGAAGCAATAGAACGGCTAAACAACCACAGGCAAGAACTGCACGAATTCGCTTCAATGTTACAACGTGTCTGTACCTCAACCCCAAAAACAGGGCGAGAAGTCTGTCCACACTCAGGGCAGTTGATGCAAAAACCGATACTCCAGTAAAAATAATGGATAAAGACCCGAGATAGGAAGACAAGATATTCCAAATTTTAGTGTCAATATTATCAACCAGGAGTATCAGCGTGGCCATGAGTGGCTGGGAAATGAGACCAACTCCAAGATCAGTGATGGCCAAGCATTGAAACAACAGTTTTGTCGGCGGATGAATAGAAGTCACTTTGCGAAGAGCAATCAGGATCAGAATGTTGCCCAGAGATGCCGTGATGGAGAGAACAATATTTACAGCTGCTATCGCAATGTATAAACCTACACGTATGTTTGCAGAAAGCGGTGTCTTCATCTTGGTGAAGTTTGCGCCTTCCGTCAAGTTTACCATTTTTCTTGCTGTAATATGGAGACGAGGTGCCTTACTTTGACTGTGTCACAGAAAGTGTTCTTTTCCGCAATGACACACAAGGTTTTTATGTTGTACAAATTGCGTTTGTTTATTTAACACACCTATCAGAAACGTGTGATAACAAACACAAAGTAAGGTGACAGGTGTACGATTATATTAACAAATGTTTCGCTAGACCCCAACCAATTTATAAATTAGTTACAAGTTGCAACATATTACCACGTTGGGGAGCGTAGTTTTAGTTGAGCAAACGTCATATGTTTTCAGTCAATTTACCCCATAAGGCAACATGTTCAATTAGGGAGAACTCATCTGAAAGTTGAGAGGTTTTTTATTTATTATTTATTTATTATCCTTTTCTGAAAACATGCACCGTGAGAACATCACAAATTCGTGAACAAATTTTTGAATTTTTTGCATTGTTAAATGCGTATCATTTTTTAAGAGGAACTCTTTAAATTCCATGACAAAACACCGATAAGGAAAAATTCTTTGTCATTTCACTTAGATGAAGGAAAGTTGGTTTACAAGTGGCACTTAAAACATAGTTCGAGTCATCGAGGGTAAAATGAGCTGGAGATGCCCAGAAAGGAAGTAAAAATTACTTCGAGTTAGTGGGAGGCTCGAGTTCTCGGGAGTCATTAGTGTCTCGATTCAAAGTGAAGATTATATTCAAAGTGGACAGACTGCAAATTATAGTAGTTGCTAAAAATTTTAATATCTACGTGTCGTAACTGTTCATCAGTAGGATGCCTAAAATGTGTGCAATTCCACAATTGGTTTCGGTTCCATTAAATCTTAATACCAATCGCAGAACATTTTAGAATATTATATGTCAGGCGCCGACATATCTGGAATTGCTTCGATAACATTTTGTCAGCAGGTTACAGACCTTAATTTCCCTCAATTGATTCCTTGCTTATTTGGCGTAGGACTTTGCACTGGGAACAATACCATCGAAATACCAGCTAAAAAGGAAGTTATAAAGAGATCTTAAGAAATTGCCTTTAGAATTACGAGAACCATCTGTTTGATAGATGACCTGACTTGGCAGGCTTGTTTAATAAAGTCTCTGACTTCTCTGTTCGCGCTATGATGATAAATTCAACAACGAGCTTAGGAAAAAATAAACGTAAAAAGTACAAGTGATTAGGAAAAGGTTTGTTAGATCAGTTACGCTATAATTAGAGAAAATGCTTAGCTGCAGGGCCGGTGTTGATTTGTACTGAAAAGGTGGCCATATGCAAATTTCCTATTTCCTAATTTCAATTAAGGTGACTCGACCCAGTTATTTTGTGGGGGTACCATCCTACTTTGAAACTCTCTGGTATCCCCTCGTTTACTTTGATCCTAAGTCTAACATATAGCATGGATAACGTATAGATCAATCTACAACATAGTATAAAAGTTTTGGCGATGGGAGTAAATATCACGTGGTTACAGTGCCACGCCTCTTTGGGGCCTGAGTCGAAATTCTGCTGTTGCCGGCATTTTTTAGTGAAAATCTCTCGGCTTCATATAGTGCGCATTCGTGCCTTGTGTTCAATAGAGTTTCACCTAAATCGCAAAGACTCAATGTGAGAAATTCGCCGGTTTGCAAATTTAGGTCATAGTTTATGTAAAAGTATGGATGAAGTAAAGTTGGTTTACAAGTGGCCCTTAAAACATAGTTCGAGACATCCAGGGTAAAATGATGTAGAGATGTCCAGAAGGGAAGTAAAAATTACTTCGAGTTAGTGGGAAGTTCGAGTTATCGGGAGTCAACTATATTCTATTCAAAGTGAAGATTATATTTAAAGTGGACAGACTTCAAATTATAGTAGTTGCTAAAAATATTAATATCTACGTGTCGTAACTGTTCATCAGTAGGATACCTAAAATGTGTGCGTTTCCACAATTGGTTTCGGCTCGATTAAATCCTATACCAATTGCAGAACATTTTAGAACATTATATGTCACACGCCGACATATCTGGAATTGCTTCGATAACATTTTGTCAGGTTACAGACCTTCATTTGCCTCAATTAATTGCTTGGTTTGATTATTTGGCGCACGTCCTTGCCGTGGGAACAATACCATCGAAATCCCAGCTGAAAAGGAAGTTATAAAGAGATCTTAAGAAATTGCTTTTAGAATTACGAGAACCATCTGTTTGATAGATGACCTTCTTGACAGGCTTGTTTAATAAAGTCTATGAATCGTGGACTTCTCTGTTCGCGCTATGATGATAAATTCAACAACGCGCTTAGGAAAAAATACACGTAAAAATTATAACTGATCAGGATTAGGTTTGTTAGATCAGTTACGCTATAATAAGAAGAAAATGCTTAGCTACAGGGCGGGCGTTGATTTGTTCTGAAAAGGTGACCATATGCAAATTTCCTATTTCCTAATTTGCAATTAAGGTGACTCGACCCAGTTATTTTGTGGGGGTACCATCCTACTTTAAAACTCTCTGGTATCCCCTCGTTTACTTTGATCCTAAGTCTAACATATGGCATGGATAACGTATAGATCAATCTACAACATAGCATAAAATTTTGGGCCATGGGAGTAAATATCTCGTGGTTACAGTGCCACGCCTCTTTGGGGCCTGAGTCGAAATTCTGCTGTTGCAGGAATTTTTTCGTGAAAATCTCTCGGCTACACATAGTGCGCATTCGTGCCTTGTGTTCAATAGAGTTTCACCTAAATCGCAAAGACCCAATGCGAGAATTTCAGCGGTTTGCAAAATTAGGTCATAATTTATGTAAAAGTATGGATGAAGTAAAGTTTGTTTACAAGTGGCACTTAAAACATAGTTTGAGACATCGAGGGTAAAATGATGTAGAGATGTCCTGAAGGGAAGTAAAAATCACTTCGAGTCATCGGGAGTCAACTGTATTCTATTCAAAGTGAAGATGAATATTTAAAGTGGACAGACTTTAAATTATAGTAGTTGCTAAAAATATTAATATCTACGTGTCGTAACTGTTCATCAGTAGGATACCTAAAATGTGTACGTTTCCACAATTGATTTCGGCTCGATTAAATCCTATACCAATTGCAGAACATTTTAGAACATTATTTGTAACGCGCCGACATATCTGGAATTGCTTCGATAACATTTTGTCAGGTTACAAACCTTAATTTCCCTCAATTAATTGCTTGCTTTAATTATTTGGCGCACGTCCTTGCCCTGGGAACAATATCATCGAAATCCCAGCTGAAAAGGAAGTTATAAAGAGATCTTAAGAAATTGCTTTTAAAATTACGAGAAGCATCTGTTTGATAGATGACCTACTTGGCAGGCTTGTTTAATAAAGTCTATGAGTCCTCGACTTCTCTGTTCGCGCTATGATGATAAATTCAACAACGCGCTTAGGAAAAAATAAACGTAAAAATTATATGTGATCGCAGGAACCCATAACCCTGGTGATGAGGAATAGGTTTGTTAGATCAGTTACGCTATAATAAGAAGAAAATGTTTAGCTGCAGGGCGGACGTTGATTTGTACTGAAAAGGTGGCCATATGCAAATTTCCTATTTCCTAATTTGCAATTAAGGTGACTCGACCCAGTTATTTTGTGGGGGTACCATCCTACTTTAAAACTCTCTGGTATCCCCTCGTTTACTTTGATCCTAAGTCTAACATATAGCATGGATAACGTATAGATCAATCTACAACATAGCATAAAATTTAGGGCGATGGAAGTAAATATCACGTGGTTATAGTGCCACGCCTCTTTAGGGCCTAAGTCGAAATTCTGCTGTTGCCGGCATTTTTTCTTCAAAATCTCTCGGCTACATATAGTGCGCATTCGTGCCTTGTGTTCAACAGAGTTTCACCAAAATCGCAAAGACCCAAGGCGAGAAATTCAGCGGTTTGCAAATTTAGGTCATAATTTATGTAAAAGTATGGATGAAGTAAAGTTTGTTTACAAGTGGCACTTAAAACATAATTCGAGTCATCGAGGGTAAAATGATGTAGAAATGTCCTGAAGGAAAGTAAAAATTAGTTCGAGTTAGTGGGAAGTTCGAGTTCTCGGGAGTCAACTATATTCTATTCAAAGTGAAGATTATATTTAAAGTGGACAGACTTCAAATTACAGTAGTTGCTAAAAATATTAATATCTACGTGTCGTAACTGTTCATCAGTAGGATACCTAAAATGTGTGCGTTTCCACAATTGGTTTCGGCTCGATTAAATCCTATACCAATTGCAGAACATTTTAGAACATTACATGATGTCAGACGCCGACATATCTGGAATTGCTTCGATAACATTTTGTTCGGTTACAAACCTTAATTTCCCTCAATTAATTGCTTGCTTTAATTATTTGGCACACGTCCTTGCCGTGGGAACAATATCATCGAAATCCCAGCTGAAAAGGAAGTTATAAAGAGATCTTAAGAAATTGCTTTTAAAATTACGAGAAGCATCTGTTTGATAGATGACCTACTTGGCAGGCTTGTTTAATAAAGTCTATGAGTCCTCGACTTCTCTGTTCGCGCAACAACAACGCGCTTAGGAAAAAATAAACGTAAAAATTATGAGTGATCACAGGAGCCCATAACCCTGGTGATGAGGAATAGGTTTATTAGATCAGTTACGCTATAATAAGAGGAAATGCTTAGCTGTAGGGCGTTGATTTGTTCTGAAAAGGTGACCATATGCAAATTTCCTATTTCCTAATTTGCAATTAAGGTGACTCGACACAGTTATTTTGTGGGGGTACCATCCTACTTTGAAACTCTCTGGTATCTCCTCGTTTACTTTGATCCTAAGTCTAACATATAGCATGCATAACGTATACATCAATCTACAATACAGCATAAAATTTTTGGCGATGGGAGTAAATATCACGTAGTTATAGTGCCACGCCTCTTTGGGGTCTGAGTCGAAATTCTGCTGTTGCCCGCATTTTTTCGTGAAAATCTCTCGGCTACATATAGTGCGCATTCGTGCCTTGTGTTCAACAGATTTTCACCAAAATCGCAAAGACCCAAGGCGAAAAATTCACCGGTTTGCAAATTTAGGTCATAATTTATGTAAAAATGATAAGAAAAAAATTATTTTGGGCCTGTCCAGAAGTCGAACCCAGGACCTCTCGCACCCTAAGCGAGAATCATGCCACTAGACCAACGGGCCACCGCTAAAGATTTAGCAATATTTCCTTATTTTATTTATATTTTCCTTTACCGATGGATATTTACCATAAATAACCCTTGTCTGAAAGTAAAGTACTACTTTGTTTCTTTTTATTATTGGTTTTACCCGGCGTGACAACGGACAGCTATGCTGGACAAAATATATTTATTTATTTATTTATTTATTTATTTATTTATTTACATTTTTTCGCAGTGCTTAGTTCCCAGAGAAGCAAAACTTTTCTTTTCTTGTCCAACAGCTTGGCCGACATAACGTCAGCGGAAAAAAAGTGCCCAAATTAAATCTCACTCTGTCTTGGTCGTGGGAGATCTGGGAACCGGATTAGTATTCTCTGCTGCTTGAATACTTTGTGTGCCGGTGCATTACTGTTTAAGAAAAATAAGTTCGCTTCCTAAGTATTTTTTCATGGACACTCGAAAGACCGAATTTTAGAATACAATTATTCTTAAGGTGCATTTCATTTGAGCTTGGTCCGTTAGCTCAGTCGGCAGAGCGTGGTAATCAAAAAAAGCGTTTCATTTGTGAAAAAAAAAATTCGCTTTTCCTAAAAAAAATTTATTTCTTACCGGGATCTTTAGTTTATTATTTTAATTTTTTTATTAATGATTAAATTTGAGTATTAGTCATTTTTGCAGGTCGTAATCAGTAAGTATACATTAAATATAAAAACAAAAAATTGTCGAAAAGTCATAGTAACTATAAACAAAGATTTTTAAAGAAAATAATATTTATTTTCAGTTTCAATTAAAGGAAGTAAAACCCAAGGGACTGGGAAAGAGCTCTTAGAAAAAGGGCCAGCGCAGCAAAAGACTGTCAGCCACTAAAGTTTCACTTTATTGTGATTGGTCGATAAGGATCGGAAGCACTTATGGTGCGTGCATGCGGTGTTAAAAGTTTTTTCAAAATCACGGAAGCTCACCGGATGGGATGAATCCGATTGATAAATTGTGAAGGACAAAATGTACCCGCAAACCGAAACGGTCAAACGCTTTCATGCCAAACCTCAATGGCAACAGATACTTGCTCTTAGTACTTTTCTGGGTAAGTAATTATGAGAAGTCTAAATCAACAAACAGTTTTAGTTGACGTACAATCGCAGCATAGTACTTTACAGTTCTCTACCGCAAATGGTATACGCAGAGTGTTTGCACTGAAAGTTCTCTGGTCTGTTGTACTTCGCTTTTAAGACACAAATTCAAATGAATTTTTTATAACTTCAGACAAGTGACTGGTGCTTTCTGGTTGTATTTGACTCCCTCGTTATCTAGAACATGAATCTGATTTGTATGCAGACTTGTCGTTTTACTCAGCGTTGTTTATACATTTCACTATTGAAAGAAAAATTCAAACGATATCCAGAGCGACGGGGACGACATAAGGCGAATCCTGAGCTCCGATTGGCTCACCCGAGCGGGTAACGTTTGGCCAGTCTTACCCGCTGGGAATTATTCGCTTTGTCGGGTTAGAGGAGATTATCTTTGGCCAAATAAGACTGAAAATCTTTATTGATAAGGAAAGTTCCATCATCCTGTCTTGACCAAGCTTGCTCAGCTCTTTCAAGATCGATGGCTGCATAACGGCTTTCCCATTCTTTCTTGCGTAGTTATGGACCTTGACTTCTTCTCGGTCCATAAAAGCACAAAGACAGAACCATGGCCAATATTCTGTCATCTTGTCCACACGCTTGGTTAATATCACGTTTGCTTCCTAATACGTACTTATATGTTGTTAATTTTCCCTTTGGTTAGGATTCACCCTTGCGGTGTGGTATAATTTATGGAACAGGGATACTCGCATCCCGCTCGATGGAATAGTGTCTTCTTCGCTTGTTCATGAACAGAGAGGGGACGGTAAGAAGAAAGTCTTTTTAGCATTTTTGACCCATCCCTGGAGAGTAAAATATAGTCCAAGATGCGAGAGAACGCATAGAAGGTACTTTCGGGTAAAACAGTCATAACTCTCCACCTTTTGTTTGGTCTAAACAGTAAACTCATTTATTCACAGCCAGAAACTCGAGATAACCGTACTCAAACTAGAACTCGTAGCTGCGTGGCCTTCTTCAAGCTCAAAAACAAAATATCGGCCCTAAATTGGATGAGACTGTAAGTCTAGCTTTCTCACGCACACGTGCATTTCAGTGTTTACTTTTTGGCTGTCTTGAGGGATGTTCTAACCTGTGAGATAGGCGCATGGTGAGGTAAGAAATATAGGACAAGAGGGAAGCGACGTGCGCGTAAGCGAGGAACACGGCCGCCAGGAGAGGAAACATTCCCCACTCCCTGCTCGCGTCCCCCCTACTTCACGACTAGCGCTTCTGTTGTTAGTTGCGCCCTTAGCTTTTAAAAATTCTCAAGCGCCTGCTACGTTAGCCTCCCACGCTGGCGTTTTTAGGGGAGCTCGTTTTTCATCCCTCCCCTAAAAACGCCTGCGTGGGAGGCTACTGCTACGTAGGCTCGACAAGCCTTATGTAGCAGGAAAGGCATTGTCAGAATACTGTCCACCTACCCCTCCCCTAAGCCAACATTTTGCCCTAAGCGAGAAGTAAGTGTTAATGTTGACTTAGGGGAGAGGTAGGTGGGCAGTTTCCCAGAAACGTATAGTGATCCGAATTTCTTATCTTTCCTCAGGAATATACATGACATTAAAACTGAAATGCTACTACTGTGATTCCGAAAACTTTGGTGCTGCTTGGGAGTCTCTTATCAAGGACTTTGCTTGCCAAGACAGTATCTATTCAACTTGCTTTGCAAACCAGACCCTCCCCGGCCGACAAACCACAGAGGTCATAGATCTTATAAAAAGCTGTAGGAAGGAATGCGCATGCTCAGACGATGACGGCTGGTGCTTAACATCGGACTGCGGACACCAGTTAAAGTGTTGCTGGGGAAACGCATATTGTGAAGAGGACTAGAACTGGTCTAAGCGTATTTAAACGAATATAAAACGTACGCGCTATTGGTGGCTTTTAAACCAGGCCTACACGGTTTATTTCACGACAGCTATTGTCGGAATATTGTCTGTATATGTATGTTCAAGAGACCTAAACGGTGTCATAATGAGTTGAACAGCTTTCAGGCAATTTAAATTACTACAGCTCGTTTCCGGAAAATGGTTGCTTGTTTTAATCAAGTCTTTTTTTAATGGTCTGATAAAGCCGTCTGACCGACATCCATACTGGTTTCTTTCCAGGGGTTTCATTCTAATTATCTGAGGATCATCCCCATCCTTTCTGAGTCACCCCCCATCCTCGGAGACCCAGGGGCTTTCTTCGCACAATATTTTTCCGCCCGTGTAGACTTTCCCTCGCGCCCACGATCTAGCTACTATCTGCCCCTGGGTCTCTGAGGATGGTCACCCCTAGGATCGAAAACTGTCCACATTCGTCAGAGAGCTGGAAAGTTCTTCTCCAAACTAATGCAAACTTGGAGATTTGCGAGTGTGAGTGTGCGACATATTTCATTGGCAAAGATTTTATTAAACAAAAAAAGTCTATGTACTTCCAGAAAGGCTTCCTGATTAAAAGGCACTAAACGGTGTAGGAAAGTTATTTCTCGCGCGAAGTATTTATCGTTTTCACTGTCACGCAACAAAAAATAAATTGGACACCGTCCAAAGGAAGAAGCCAAGAAAATGAAATGTTATAAAAGACTAATTTTTAAACAATTTGTTTAAGTCTCAGGTCTCTGTGGCCAACAGTTTCTGAGTTATTTCCCAGAACGTTTTATGCACCTTTGTAGAGCTTTGTATGGAGACGCCATATTGGTGCACCGTTTTGGTGCGTCACTTGTTGTGTTTAGTATTTCGATCCCAGAATCAGGAACGAAGCTTTCAGAATCAACTGGCTCGTCCCCAGGGCTTTTTCCTAAGGGAAAGGCGTCCTGCATGGCGACGAGGTTGTCTCAGAGACGAGTTGTTTATTGGGTAACCGACGTCCCTGGCCCTAACAGTAGCTTAAACAGTAGCAGGCCGCAGCCTCGTACCCAGGCCAGTTCGCGCTATCTGAATGACCAGAGGTTGACCAGAGGTTAGACCAGAGGTTACCAGAGGAGGCTTGGACAGGTGACGTCACATCCGAAATCGCCGAGGACGACTGAGAACGAGGCTGAGCAGGCCGTACTAGCAGGTGTTTCGTTCTGCAGGGCTCGGTTCCTCGAAAGATGGTTAAGTTCAACCCAGGATTAAGCCAAATTTTTAGCAAGGTTTTCTTGTCTAAGAGCATGTAACTTGAGCTTACAAAATACTATTGAGCCTTTACTTCGGGCAAAAAAGAAATGATAACCCAAAATGTTACCCTAGGCAATGTACAGGAAGGTAAATACAAAAAGTGGAACAAAATCTTAATCCTGGATCAGCGCTACGGGTCAAGTTTCTTCCAGAGAACAATTGGGTACAACCTCGTCCCCAGGGTCTTCTCGCTTTCCAATATGCCGCCATATTGGAAAGCGAGAAGACCCTGGGGACGAGGTTGCAATTGGGTAATGAAACAAGGGAAGAATGACCCAAAACAATGTCATCAGAGTAAAAACAATAGCAGGTGACAGCCCCAGATGTTCAGAAGGTGGATAGCGCTATCCACCGGAAAGCCAATTGCACTATCCTTACTGCGATAGAGATTTATCCAGTGAATATTGCTACCCACCCTTTTGTACAACCAATACAACAGTAAAAGGAATGACCTAGACAATGCCCTTAGCCCTGTAAACAACAGCAGGTTTGTTTTCAAAGTCAATGAAAATAAAGGTTTCTAACTGTTTCGTGGCTCCAGTATCCAGGTGAAACTGCTGTTGATGAGCAACTTTTCTGCTTTGGCCGGTTGAAAAGCGCCCCGGGGACGAAGTTGTTGCTTCCGAAAATTAAACAGCCGGGCCTTTCGTCTTCGTTACCCCAGCGACGGGGCCGATGAGCGAGGACAGCCGGCTTCGTCACGTGGTTTGAATTGTTTTGCTTTTGACAACACACGATCGCATACATGAAGTAGTAGTATTTTAAAGGTAGCGTAATGGCTGGTAGAGTTCAAATGGACGACGACAACGAATCGAGCAGTGATTTAGAACTGCCGTTGTCTCAAGACCGCGGAAACGAGCAGGAAACTTTGATAAAGAGTCCTTCGAATCAAGCAACTCCACGATACGTCTATTTTCTCACCGCGTTCGCGGCGATTGGCGGATTCTTATTCGGCTATGACACTGGTGTGATTTCTGGTGCTATGATTCTCATCAAACAAGAGTTTCAGTTGTCTTATTTTTGGCAAGAGCTTGTTGTTAGTGTGACTATAGGGACAGCCATATTAGGTGCCCTGTTAGGTGGTTTTCTTAATCAATGGCTCGGTAGAAAGCCGATTTTAATCGTCTCCGCGACAGTATTCACAGTTGGAGCGATAGTGATGGGAGTCGCTCACTCTCGAGAAGTTCTCCTCCTCGGAAGACTTATTGTAGGATTTGGAATAGGTGAGCTTGACTTGACACTTAAAAGATGTTATTTTGTCTGTTGTGCTATGTGTTTGTGAGTGTTTTTGTTTTATTTTTCATTTTATTGTTATGTTTCTCATTTAACTGACAATGTAAACAGTCTTGCAAGGCTGTTTACATTGTCAGTTAAATGAGAAACATAATTGACTAGCTTTGACATTAGCCTGCATGTAGGGCTGCAGTGTGAGCGTTATCAGTCATGTGATTTTCTGTGTGTCATCAGCCTTCAGGGCTTCAGGGCTCATTCCAGGGGGCTTCGGATTTTCTCTTCAAAGCAAACAACGAAAATTTGGAACCTTCAGAAAATCTTTTCAAAGGTGCTGGCCAAACATTAGATTCAGATTTCATTTTTCTTGGGGTAGCACCAAAAATTAAGGGTTTGGAACCTTTTTGGAGGGAGGGATATGTGGATAAAAAGTGGAATGTTCCAGGGAGGGAAGGGGTTTAAAATTTTGATCCAACCATAGCTTTTCCGTCTGGATTGTTTGTTTAAAAGGTGAAATGAAAACTGTTAGTTCTGAAAAAAAAAGGTAATGATAGTGATTATGATGATGATTTCGTTATCTAACCCCTAAAGCCCTGCTTGGTATTGGAGCCCAAGGTTAAGAGTTTAGGCCTTCTTTTCAATTTCTCTGAAGACTGATTTTTAAGGGCCCAGTTTTTAGCATTCGTGGAAATGGTTTTGAAAACTCTGGGCCTCACATTTTATACAGAGTGCTAAATATAACCATGGAAACCTTCAAATTTATGGCTGATTTACATTAAAGCAGATTTTGTTAACCCATTCACCCTAGCCATCCATAACTGCCTGTGATATCACATCTTTTGTGCTATTTTCAACAGATCAATTGTGATGGTTTCTTAACTTGGATAGAAGGCTCAAATGACAATGTAAAACTAAAAAGCGAAATTGTGTAACTTTGTTTTGAAAATAATAAGGCATAAGTTGTTCCGACAGACTAAAATACTGGTATTTGTGAAATTAAGGGATTTGATTATTCAGACAATTTAAACATTTCTGATTGATGATAAGATACACTGCATTAGCACTTTCATTGACTTGGATAAAGTAAACAATTATAGTCAGGGGGCCATTGTCACTTTTTTTGCATAAAATATTACCTTCTGTACATGCCCATATTTAGAAACCTTTGGTTTTGCATCAGGAACAAAATCCACGGGGGTACTGGACTTGAAATCAACATTTTGGTTGGTTTAATTTTGCTTCATTTATTTTTTGGTCAGACAGTGACCAGAAAACAGCTCTCAACAAGGTCTTAAGGCCAGAGTTGAGGTGTTATCAGATTAAGGTGTTTTAAAGGGCAGTTGGTTGGCCTTTGTGAAGAATTTGTGAATTTGTGAAATAATTTAGGTATCACCACCAGGAGCAATCAAAAAAAAATTCCAAGTAATTTTTAAACAAATCAGCAATTACCCAATTATTAGCTATTAATTTGGTTATTAATATTTTAACCACCCTTTGGTTTTTAAACAACAGGTGGTGCTTCAGTTACTGTTCCTGTGTATATTGCTGAAACAGCACCTTCAAATACGCGAGGGCGAATGGTCACCATCAATAACATGTTTATTACTGGTGGACAGTTCATTGCTGCCGTTATAGATGGGATTTTTAGCCCTTACAAAAGGAATGGATGGAGGTACAGATACATATGTACAATCATTATATTACTCAATTATATATTGCATTATAGAATATGATGTTCTCTAGTCAGTTGTACAGTTACAGGCTACTTTGAAGAAGAAATGAAAAACTTTAAGTTTACTTGACAGGATTTGATCTTATTGCCCTCTGGTTGGTAACTACTAGTCTAGATGCCCTACCACTGAGGTACAGGAGACCAATGGGAGCTATTACAGTGCAACCGGGAAAACCATTGACACTTGGAATAGCTCAGGAATGTTTATTGTGTTACGACCAATCACTGCAAAGATCAGGACACGTGAACTAGCCTCAAAACCTCAAACTAATTAATGGTCTTGTTTCTCATGCCTAAATGGCTATTTTCTTGCAACACAATAACATTCCAGAAATGTTTCTGGTATTCACGGTTTTCCCAGTTTGACTGTAAAAAGGTCATCAAACTACTAGTTTAATTTTAATGTGATAAACATCCTGCATACTGCACGTGTGGCTTGGATGTCAAGAAGTGGTATACTTGTAATGATATACACATGCTCTCCCTTTTATTTCCTTAACGCATTCGCTCCTGGAGATTTTGCCCAAAAACGCGTTTTGAGGCTAGTCGAGTGGTTTTCTGGTCACTGTCATGCTATAAAGAGCTAAAACTTACCACAAACCAGTTTACAGGTTGTACACTTGGCGGCCTTCTGATCCAGATGCAAAATATCAGCTTGTGAAGTTCAGGCATGCGCAGAAAGCAAAATTTCGAGAAAGTTTTGGGGTTTAAAAGTGACACAGCAGTCTTGACTTTGACTTTTCGCTTTCTCTCCTCCCTTCTTTTTTCGCTTTTCTTGCCTCATTTTTTTTTTCTCTTGCTGGGCATTTAGTAGGCTTTATTTTGGTGGGAAGAGTTTTTAGGAAAGCTTTTAGGATCTTAGGATTAGGTGAAAGGAAAGGTAGGTGGGTAATGGAACAAGATTTTCATGGAGATTTTCAGGTCCTTGTCACGTGGTTTTTTGCTTCTTTCTCGGGTGTCCTTGACTGAATTGTGTTCATTCTGGTATGGTTTGAAAGATCTCTTCACTCTGCACAAGTTAGCGAAGAAAGTTGTCCTTGACCGTTAAAACTGATGACGTCACAAAGGGTAGAAAGGACCTGGATCCGCACGGGCGGTTACGGGCGGTTCAGGGCTTAATGGGTTAATCAAAAACCGAAAAAGTGGCCTTTTACCAACTTTTTCACCTGATTTTACATGAAATAGACAGATTTGGTTGTTTTATGCTGAAAAGTGGATTTTTTTCAAAAAGCTTGGTACTCTGCTTAACCCATTCGCTGCTGGAGATTTTGCCCAAAAACGCGTTTTGAGGCTAGTCGAGTGGTTTTCTGGTCACTGTCGTGCTATAAAGAGCTAAAACTTACCACAAACCGGTTTACAGGTTGTACACTTGGCGGCCTTCTGATCCAGATGCAAAATATCAGCTTGTGAAGTTCGGGCATGCGCAGAAAGCAAAATTTCGAGATAGTTTTGGGGTTTAAAAGTGACACAGCAGTCTTGACTTTGACTTTTCGCTTTCTCTCCTCCCTTCTTTTTTCGCTTTTCTTGCCTCATTTTTTTTTTCTCTTGCTGGGCATTTAGTAGGCTTTATTTTGGTGGGAAGAGTTTTTAGGAAAGCTTTTAGGATCTTAGGATTAGGTGAAAGGAAAGGTAGGTGGGTAATGGAACAAGATTTTCATGGAGATTTTCAGGTCCTTGTCACATGGTTTTTTGCTTCTTTCTCGGGTGTCCTTGACTGAATTGTGTTCATTCTGGTATGGTTTGAAAGATCTCTTCACTCTGCACAAGTTAGCGAAGAAAGTTGTCCTTGACCGTTAAAACTGATGACGTCACAAAGGGTAGAAAGGACCTGGATCCGCACGGGCGGTTATGGGCGGTTCAGGGGTGAATGGGTTAATAATTAGTTACTAAAGTGATGATGTCATAAAAATGAAATTTCTGAAATATATGGGATTTGTCAGGATATTCTGAAAGAACAATGTCCAAGAGGGCTACTTACCAAAAATGAGCATTTCGGCGCAAATTTTCGCTGAGATCGTAGCCCAGTTATGCCGAGAAAACTCCATACAAACCCTTCTAAATTTTTTTGGGTCAACCCCCAAAAAATCTCAGGGACAATTTGCCCCGAAATGCTCATTTTTGGCAAGTAGGCCCGTTGGACGTTGCTCTTTCAGAATATCCTGACAAATCCCATAATTTCAGAAATTTAATTTTTATGATGACACGCTTTAAAACTCTATACCCATACACCATACCTGACACAAGTGTAAATTACAATAACACTGCATTTTTGTTTTTCTCTTTGTCTTCCTAGGTTCATGCTTGGTTTAGCTGCTTTGCCATCTCTTGTCATGTTTTTTGGTTGCCTTTTTCTCCCTGAGAGCCCTCGATGGCTTCTTAGTAAAGGTTATGGTGAGCGAGCTAAGGCTGTGCTGATGAAATTAAGGGGTGCTTCAGACGTGAGTTCAGAGCTTGAGGCCATGAAAAATGTGGTCGAAGAGGAAAGCTCCATGGATGAAAGTAAGTCCACACCTGTTAAGTGTTAAATGTGGCAAAATGAAATTTACTGTAAGCTAAGTTAAACGCAAGACATTGCTAGTCTGCTGTCTCTTTCATTGAATTAATAGGGGCACACTAATAAAGAGCTTGACAAAGTCATTTTTGAGCAATGCATGTCATTCGGAAGTGAGACCATTTCCCTATTAATATGCCATGTTGCTATGTAATTTGTATATCACTAAGTGTCTTTGCTCACCGTAATTCCAAGGCGGCTACGAGGATGAGATTTTCCTAATACTTAGTAGTGCAAGTTCTTGAAGCAGCATCATTTTGGTGGGAAAATTCAATAGGCATGGTCATTCCTTTATGGGTTTTATAGAGACTGTCACAGTAGGACAAACAAGTTATCAAATATTAAGAATTTCATCATTTTGCAATTGGGAGAGGGCTCAAAATCCTTTAATAAACATAAATGTGCTAACTTTTCTGGTGAAGAAAGGGACAGTGAAGCTTTCTGGGATGTATATTTTTTGAGAATATTATGCAAAAAAAAAAAACTTTGAGTCAAATATCATCCTTGAATCTGAAAATCTCTCTTTACTTGAAAAAGTGCCATTTTAAAATTAAGTGCTGTCCATAAAATAGCTCCAGTCCTAATAGGCAATAAAATAAATAGGTGAGATGGGAAAGTAAAATTGCTGCAGATCCTCTCAGCAACCTATACTGTAGTGGTGCTTGTCGATTATGGCGTGATGGTACAGAAAGAGACAGAAAACCCTTTTGTTTGAGAATTCCTCTTTTACAGATAATTTTTCTTTTGACCATCATTTTTTTTTTCTTGATATAGTAGTCTTACAGAAGAATCCCGATTTTTCAAACAACCCTGGGAAAAGCAAATTGGTTCGAATTATTGGTAGGTTTTAAAAAATATGGGGTAAAATGACAGTTTTTGACAGGTGATGGGAGTGTTCGCCTTTTAAAATTATGAATTGATATTGTTGGAGAAACATGATGTTCATCACTTGTGAAACTTTCAACAATAACTTAGATGATCATAGTAGAGAACCTTTTCTTTTTTTCTAGACTCTGGTTCATTCACTCAGAGTGGAGTGTACAAGATTTTAGCTTCCTCATCAATGAGAAAAGCAGTTCTGGTGGGATGTATGCTGCAGGCAATACAACAGCTGTCAGGGATAAATACTGTCATGTAAGTGCAGTTTTTATTCTGTCCACAGTATTTTGATAGGGAACTTAAAGGAGCTTTGTCGTAAGGATATAATAGTACTGTTTTATGTCAATTCTGTGCTGAAGTCATATACTTAGTATAGTGTCTTTGCCCATACAGAAAACAGCTCCATTAGAGATGTAGATAAGATTCAAACAAATTTGATTAGCCAGGGTGTGCTTAAACCATTAAAAATTTTTTGGTGATTTTTGCAGGCATGGTGTTAAACCGATCCATGTCCATCCTTGCCATTGGTTGCAACAGACAATAGGAAATAGCTTTGATGCCTAATTTTGTCTACTGTTAAATAACAAAAGAAGAGCATTAATTTCGATATTCATTTGATGTAATGACAAGTTTAAGCTCTTAAAAAAGATAGCAAGATGGTGAAAGCAACATTAGATGGACGGGGAGACAAAAAAATCGATTCCCCAAGTCTTTCCCAATTGCACCTTGTGCACAAGTTACATCCAACAGCTTCCAGAATGTTTCGCACCACACAAAAATTGAGCATTAATTCCTATTGTTTTTACAACAGGTATTATAGTGCCACTATCATACAGATGTCAGGAGTTCAAGGTGAACAGCTCGCCATCTGGTTGGCAGCAGTCGTAGCCTTTGGTAACTTCTTATTCACTCTGGTAGGTGTCTGTCTTGTAGAGAAGATGGGCCGCCGGAAACTGCTCCTAGTAAGCCTTGCTGGTGTCATATTTAGCTTATCTCTGCTGGGAGGTGCTTTTTACATTGCTGAGCAATATGATGCACCAATAGCTTTCCAAGAGGAGAGACCCTCTTACATCATGAACAACTGCCCTGTCAGTGGGCACTGTTTAGACTGTTTAGATGCCAAATGTGGATTTTGTTTTGACACAGACACTGCAAGCAATCCAATTAATGGATCTTGTCTTCCAGTCAATACATCTAGTCCCAGCACTGCGGCTTATGGACGGTGCAGTAGAGCAGGTCATTCGGCCTCATGGTCGTACCTGGCCTGTCCTTTTAAATATGCCTGGATCGCTATTGTGGCCTTAATCCTTTACATTGGAGCTTTTGCTCCAGGTATGGGACCCATGCCATGGACTATCAATTCTGAGATCTACCCCCTATGGGCACGAAGCACTGGAAATGCGCTTTCTACTGCTACAAACTGGACTTTCAACCTGATAATTTCCATGACTTTTCTTTCGCTTACGGAATGGATCACTCGCTATGGAGCGTTTTGGCTTTATGGCGGTATTGCATTTTGTGGATGGCTATTTTTCTTTTTCACTGTTCCAGAAACCAAAGGAAAATCTTTAGAAGAGCTTGAACATTTATTTCGATAATCAAGTAGTCCAAAATTCTAATGGACCTGAATATGATATAATATTGGGTAGCCCGTGAGCAAGCTATCCATTGGGCAAAGCAAGCCACAGTCTGCCCCATAAAAGGGGATCCAAGACAGTCTTGGGTTCTGGATTCTGGGTTCTGGTAGCCTTGTCACGCATGAAATTCAACAGAGGCTTCTATTGACGTTTATGTGAATTGTTTTAGTTATTTTTTGCAGTACTTTACCAAAATTAAAGTGGATACTTTTTGTGAATGTTACTTTGGTCCTTTTTTTAAAAGGTTAAATAAAGACTAAACGAAGACTCAATCTTCTACATTTAGCGTAAAATCGTTTTATTTATCATCAAACTCGTGTGATTGCTAAGTGATTGTTTGAAATCAGGGACCGACTCAACCAAATTCAGAGAGGGACGGCTCTATGGCTTTTAAAAAGAGTCCCCTCCCCCCCCCTCTTCCCCTCCCCTCATATTCCATAAAGAAGAAAAGGAAGAAGAAGAAAAGAAAAAAGAAACAAACTGACATGTTCACATTGAAAACTGATAAAAAGCAGAGCACCGGAGATTTGAATATCCATGAATCCTACAACGGGGAAAAGCGCCCTGGGGACGAGGTTGATCCTACAAAGGTTTTAAAAGAACTCTATTAACGATTTCCACCGCTTTGTCGGGTCCGGGAGTGGAGCGGGCTCATTTCCCGAACAGCGGGTGCCTACCGATAACGAAAACCGTCGCGAAATGGGTTTAAGGTTTAGCGCCCCTTTCATAACCTACGCCACAGACAAAACTAAACTCTGGTTTAAATCACGCTTCCGACGTAGGCTAGCCTTCAAGTAAGCCAATTTTTAAGCAAACTTTTCTTGTGTAGGATCTAGGAATATGGACTTGGGATAACACCAATTGATACTCAAGGCGATCAACAGCAAAGTAAATACAATAGCGGATTAAAATTTTTATTAGCGCTCATAGGAGCGTAGCTATCTGTACACCAGTACGCATGCATTCCTGAAAAATGTCGCCCTAGCCTGAAAAACGCGAATAAAATAACCTCTGTTAAGCAGGCTAATGTCGCCCCTGCTAATAGGCTTTTCACAGAAGAATAGACCCTTCTATGGTAGCCTGCATAGCAGACGCCGAAAGTGGTAGGATGTTGCCTGAGAAAGGGAAATAGCGAGGAGATTGGGGAGAGAGGCTCTCTTCCCTTCTCCCTTTTCCCTTTTGCGCTTTCCTCCCCATTCCCTTCTTATTTCCACTTTTGACTGAGACCAGTTGGGAGAAATCCGTCTGGAAAGAACTGTCTTAAAATTAGCGGAGAAGCCATTTTCGAACGTGATTTGTTGAAAAGACCAAGAAAGATTCATGTATAGCTCCGCAAAACGCCGAATTTTATTTTTGGCGTTTGTATACTGTGGGCAAGCTCTTACCCACACTATATAACTTCATACAAAGGTCTGTAAAATGTTGCGACTTTGAGGAGCAATATCTTGGCTTGCTTTTAAATTGTCACCTGTAAACTTGGTAAGTTTCCTAAGTCCTGCTCTTCCCAGCAGTGTCAATGGATATTCTTAAAAAATCAAAAACAAACAGAACAAAACAAAAAAACAATGTCTAGTCAAACCAAAGTTTGCGAGCACACCATTTAAGACATCACTTGATATTTTCATTAAACAGGCATCTCTGCAAGTAAACGACTATTCAACAAAACAATAGTAAGTAATGAACAAAAGTTCCTTCTTCGGGTCAGGCCTTTCAGTACTTTAGAATCGTTGCAAGGTTTGCATACACCGAAATCAAAGAAAAAGTTAAAAAAATAATAATAATAAAAACTTTGTAGTTCGCGCGCGGCTCTACCACGCAGCTTATCAGAATTTTTTCCGTTATTTGTTTCATCTCTGCAGGTATCCAGATCTCAGTGGAATAGGGGTTGGGGGACGGCCTTGACAGGAACGTTCAATTTGGTCAGCGGCCACGCTCTTCATGGTGCTTTTCGGTTCAATGTGTTTATTTCGGTTCGATAAAGCGTGAAATTATTTATTTATGGCTTCAACAGTTAAAACTTGGTGGAACTTAATGCTCTCTGAAGGCCCCCGGACTCCCCTAGCAGCTCAAGCCTTTGGCGCTCGTGATTGCCACCTCCCCCCACCAATAAATCTGACCTTGCTACGGCAACAGTAAAAGGAAGAAAGGAGATGTATTTCCCAAGCTCTCTCCAATCAGCTGATCGGTGGCGCCTCGTTTTCACGAGAAAGGGAAAAAACGCGGGAAAATTTGCGTCACGTGAACAGTTCAGCCGAAGAAGACAGCATGGCGGTGAGTTGTTGTAAATCTTTAAAGAAATTTCATTTAGTTTCTTGATCTGAAACCCTTTCTTGTTTCTATAACGATTAGTCTTCAGATCGATCTCATTTTGATTGCAGTGTATTTCCTATTTTTGCTTTTCGATCGCTTTTTTGGCCACAAATTCAGTCGGCATGGCTTCGTGTAGCTTTGTGTTGTGCAGAACATTGTTCGATCGAGTGTACCGCAACTTTTCTATTGATTTCATGTCTCATTCTGTTCGATTGATTCAAGCTTAGAATAAGCGTGGTAATGTATTCATAGTCGTTATTTGACGAACTTTGTAGATTCCATGCATGTATGCTCGAGTTGTCGGTCGTTAATGAAGCTCAAAGCCAACTTTATTTTAATCCAGAAATGTACACTTTTGATTGCAAAGCGTTTCCGGGCTTGTACAACAGTTGGAATCGCTAAATATCCTATAATCTTATTGCTCATTTCATCTAGCTGCAAGTAGGTCGTGATTAGTTAAAATTTGATCATTGTTATTATAAAAGCTTGCTAAATTCTTCTGGAAAAAATTATGGTAAATATGATATCCAACATATCACGAGAACCTCAGCACTGGACTTGTGGCTCGCAGAGATCACATATTTATGATGGAGTCTGCCTTTTTTAACAATGAGGTTTTCTTAAATTTTTCTCAAACTTATTTAACTTAATTTTTCCTAATTTTTAAATTTTCCAAAAATTAATTAAAACAAAACATATACATGCAAATTTTTTTTTCATCAAAATCCACTAGGATTACATTCTAGGGAGATCAATGCTGAACTCTATGGGTTTCTTTATTGTGCAACTTTCTTAAGCCCAGTTCAGATGCTGTGCTTCATATTTGCCCAATCAAATTCACTGACTTGAGTTCATGTGAAGTATGGTGTCTTTATCAATTGGAAATGGTGAAAATTGGAAAGAGCTATTTTGCAATAACATAGATACAATATTATAGATGATGTAAAATAATTTAGGTGAATTAATGTAATGAAGATTAGTGTTGTAAACTGATTAAAAATTTTGTGTCTGACAAATTTTTCAGATTGCTTTGATATCGTAAATTCCACTAGCGCAATTTTTTCAAATCAATTTACATTTCGACAGGCATCACGCAATGCAAATAACAATATTTATTTCATTACCAATGAGCAATGCCTGGACAGCTACATTAGCAAGATCGCCAGGTCCGTTTGTACCTGAATCAAAGAACACTACTGTCCACAATGACCACCTCTCCACAACAGCCAGTCCCCTCTACAACAGCCAATTTTTGGCGGACAGTCCATACATCCACTTTTCTTTAAACCTTTCTACAATGGCCTGTCCGGAAGGTGGCCGTTGTTGTTACCTCATGTAGTTTCTGCTTCCAGCATGAAGCAATATTCTGACAAGACAACTTTTTGATGAGCAAAGTTTATTCAGCATCGACGTCCTAATGGTGTTCACTACAAAGTTACACTGCACAATGAATAACAGTTTTTAGCATGATCTACAGCTAATCAAATATGAACAAGGAATGGTCCATATTGGGAATAACGATCTAAACAATCCTCAGCTAATTGAGTATGCAATAACGTATTGCAACAGTCGTAGAGAGGTCCAACTGTAATTCCCTAATCAAACAAGACCAATCCCTTGATACTCCTGACTGCAGGGCAACAGGTCACAACATCAACCCATACAGTTTAAAAGTACTCTCCAGGGTTCTCAATAGGATTTGAAATAGGCGTCTGCCCAACCTTAAGGAGGCGGCTTTGACAAATGGAGGGGCTGTAAACTAGAGAGAGAAAAGTAGCAATTAGAATGCAAAGAAAGCAGCTACAAATTCCAAAGTAGGTGGAGATCAATCTTTGGGTGCTGACTTCTATTGAGAACCCTGACTATCCAACAAAAATAACACCATCAAGGGCCACATCAAGGAAGTCATTGCCATTAAACTAAGACAACCCTCTGGTCTAGACTCACCAGCAATTTACAGTCCACTCCTGAGGATATGTAGCAATTTTTCTGTTGCACAACCTGACACTTCACAATGCTGATGAAGTTCGAGCAATTTGGACCAAATATTCATTTTCTGTCTCAAATTTTGCTCTGAGTTTTTTTTTCTATTCTAAATATTTGTTTCCCTTCAGGAATCCTCAAGCAGCATCGGTGTACCAAGTAGTCCTCAGAGGACAGATGGTCTAACGTCCAGCCCTGGTAGAGACTTACCTCCTTTTGAAGATGAAACTGACGCAGTTCTGGGAAATGAAAACGTGGTTGACGAGGAAGATGGAGAAGAGTTGTTTGGTGATAGGATGGAACAGTAAGTTGAAACAGACACTTCATTGATATTTGGGGTTGCTTTCATCCTTGGCCACTGTCTAGATAAAAAGTTTGTGGATTATTGGAAAATAATTTTGTTTTAAGATAATGAAAGACACAAAGAGCTTGATTGTTAAAAATAAAGCTTTAGAGCTATTGTTTATTATAATGCTTGCACGAGGCTGGCATGTACAATTTTCATTGTGCTACTTGGAGGTTGTTCATTCCCTTCAGTAGCAGGTGGCTATAGTTTTCACTTTGTCAATAGTTTTCACTCTGGCAAACACATGAAAGGTCACCATAGTTCTTTTCTAGGGTAATGTGGCTGGTCCAGGGAATATTGTGGACTTGATGTAGATGGTTTAAAATTTATAGTACCGCTCAAAAGTAAGTTACCAGTCAAGTCTCGTTTCCTGCGCAACGAGATATATATGTTTGTTATGTTTTGTTTAAAACTATATGAGCTTTTTTGTATTTGTAGGGATTACCGTCCAATTCCAGCCCTTGATGTGTACGAGGCTGGTGCTTTAGATGAAGACGAGTATGATGAGATGGCTCCTGAGGCTCGGCAAGAAGCTGAGCGGCTGATGAGAAAGAGGGACCGAGAGGAGGCAGCAGCCATGGGACGACTTCATCGAGGACTACTTTATGGTAAAGACAAATTCTTGTGACATGATTTGACCTGAAAAGTCACTTTTTCCATGCAGCCTTAAAAATGCTGTTTTGTACATATTTGCAGTTTTAATGTGAAAGTTTAAATATTGATTTCTTGTTTTTTAAGATGAAACTGATGAAGAGGATGAGGAACAACCTAGACGAAGGCGTCGGCTTGCAGAAAGAGCGGCAGATGGAGATTTGCAAGATGAGGATGAGGTATTGAAATCTTAAAGGGAAACCTCAACTTACAAAATGTATTTTTATGTTTATATTAAGAACATTGGAACATTTCATCCACATTCAAAAGTGACATTTGAGTGAATGGCCTAAACAGATTGTCACCGTACACTAGGTTAATCCAGTATTTCTCCTCTCTCTCCAGCTTATTGAAAGTATTGAAAACCTTGAAGACATGAAAGGTCATTCTGTACGGGAATGGGTTTCCATGCAGGCCCCCAGACTTGAAATCAAGAACAGATTTAAACAGTTTCTTCGGTCATTTGTTGATGATCAAGGGCATAGTGTTTACAGGGAGAAGATATCACAGATGTGTGAAGGTAGATCAGATGCTATTTATTTTTCTTGTCAGCATAATCTTCATGAGATAAGCCATCTCCAAAGAACAGCAACAGCAAAATTCAACAGAATAGATAATTTACAAAGGCAAAATCATTATATTTTCTTTGACTGCTCTTTCTTCTTCTTCAGTGATTGTGAATAAGTGTGATTACATGTTTGATAACAACTTACATACTCTTGTGAGCTACAACTGCATGTGTTTGATTTGATTTGATTCTAGGTTACACTGACAAGTCTGAACCATAGTATTGTCCGAAAATTTATTTTTGGGTGACTACGGGAATTAAAGCAAAAGGCTGTCACTAAGATTTCAAGTTAGTAGGTGGGGGATCCGGAATTGAGCAGCTAGGAAGTTCTCTTGGTTCGATTTTCCTCTTGTTTTCATGACAGTAGCTGGGGAGGGGGAATCATTCTTATCCTAGCCACAGGAAATTCCTGCTCCCTGGCCTTTAGTGACAGCCCTGCAACATGTGTCAAAGTCATTAATGCCTTTTTTGTGTTTGTTCTGTTTTCTTAGCAAACAGACAAAGTCTTGTTGTTGATTATAACATCCTGGCAAATGAGCAACAGGTCTTAGCATATTTTCTTCCCGAGGCACCATCAGAAGTCTTGCAAATTTTTGACGAGGTAATTAGCAAATAAGACTTATCAGATGGAAGTGTTACTCTTTCACTCCTGTCAGTGACCAACTGAAAAGAACCTAGAAAGTATTCACAATCATTGTCAAAAGTGGTGATAAGGCTTTTATGGTTTACCTCTTTTTTCCCTTCTTCCCCTTCCCACTGGTCCCCTGTTCTTTTATATCCCAACATTGAGTAAGGGGGATGGGGGGTATTTATCAAAAGGGAGAACCATCTTTTTGGACATTAAAGTGAACTGTTGTCAATTTGTACAACCTTCCCAACTACATTGGCAGGATTGTAGAAATAAACAGTTCCATAGTGAGCTGAAAGTAGTATTATACAGATGCTACTTAAATGGTCACATGAGCTGAGGGTTTTGTTGACAGAGTCATAGTTAGAACTATGGTAAATTAAAAAATTTAAAGGCACACATGAGCCAAAGGCCCCAACCACCAGCGCTCATCCCAGTTTCCTTAGCATGAAGCATGCCTAATAATATTGCTACTCCCCCCTGGACGGGACACTTGTCCATCGCAGGGTTACCCCCCAGCAGTATGTTGCCAGTACCCACTTATACACCTTGGTGGAGAGAGACAAGTGGAGTAATATTCCTTGTCTAAGGAAACAACGTGACAGGCAAGGCTTGAAACCTGGACCTCCAGATCAGAGTTTGAGGTGATAACCACTTGGCCAAACATGCCTCCACAGTTAGACCTATAAGTGGCATGAGGAGCAAGCAATGTCTCTTTCACCTGGACAATGTTATTTCTCAATGGAAGACTGCTAGAATGCTTCAAGCCTAGTATTTTCACTCATATGAGACAAATTAGTAAACTAAAAATTAAACTGGTTTGAATGTTTTATAGCAGGGGCCTTTTAAACATTAACATTAACTTTAGTTGGACTTCTTTCCAGGGTGCAAAGGAGGTAGTGCTTGCAATGTTTCCAAACTATGACCGCATTGCGAGTGATATCCATGTACGCATTGCAGACCTACCTCTCATGGAGGAGCTAAGATCATTAAGGTATGGCAGTTGGTTACAATCCTCATGCTTGTTGTTTTGACTTCTCCCATAGGTTCAAAGCTTTACACTAGATCAATATAATGCTTGCAGGGATTTTGTTGGATCGATAACAAAAAACAAGAATGTTTAATTATTGCACATAACAATGTTTAAAAGCTCAAGCTATCGGTACAAAAAAATTGTCTTAAGTTTATTTTCAGACATCTCTTTCAGGTTACAGCAACAAACATTTGGAAACGAGTAAAGAAAATTTGCTTGGTGTGACATTCCAAAAAATATCCATACTCCCCATGAAAGGGAATTCTTCTCTAACCCTTCCCCTGTGGAATTTCCAATCTCTAAAAGAGGCAGAGAGTGGTGGGGGTGGGTTGTCTGGATATGTATACTTTCTGGGAGTACACAATGTTGTTTATTTATTTTGTTTGTTTATTTATTTTTGCAGACAGCTGCACGTGAACCAATTGATTCGAACTTGTGGTGTCGTGACAAGTAGCACAGGCATTCTTCCACAGCTCAGCATGGTGAAATATGACTGTCAGAAGTGCTCTTTTATCCTCGGGCCATTTTTCCAATCACCCAATCAAGAGGTCAAGCCAGGCTCCTGTCCAGAATGTCAATCACGAGGACCTTTCGAAATAAACATGGATCAGGTTAGATTGTGAAGAAAATGGAGTTTGTAGTGCATCAGATTGGTTTCTCGGGCCCAGAAGAGTCTTTATGGCAAATTTATACATTGAAGGAAGTTTGGGCTAGGGTATGATGAAGGAAGGCCTTAAAGGACTCAATTGTGTAAAGAAGTGTGACGTCACAAAAATTTGAATTTGCAAAATTATGGGATTGATTGGCATATTGAGCACAACATCACTTAAATCTCACCAACAATTTGCACTAACCCAACGATTTTTGTCAAGTCGCCTTTTTCGTCATGTTCTTTCCGACTATCCTGCCCAATCCCATAATTTCTTTAATTTAGATTTTGTCATACCGTTGCTTCTCTACTCTATTTTTTGTCAAATTCCCCTTTGTCTTGCAAGCAAAGAAAAGGGAGAGTTTAATCCAGGATTTAATTTCTTACCAATTGGGTCAATTAAAACCTGGCATTTGAGCGAATGAACCCTGAATGTCTACTTCAGATTTCCTCTAGTAACAAATAAGTGAGAAAATATTAAAACTTTTCTTGTTTTTTCCTTGTAGACTATTTATCAAAACTTTCAAAAGATAAAGATTCAGGAAAGTCCCAGCAAAGTGGCAGCAGGCAGGCTTCCCCGATACAAAGATGTCATTCTGACTGGTGATCTTGTAGACAGCTGCAAACCAGGAGATGACATTGTAAGTGATAACTGTACTGCTGGCGTGTCAAGCCTGTTGAGTCTCCTGGTATGTGTTTTCCCCTGGAAAAGTGGAGTGTTCAGGGGTCTAGTCACATGGTTGGTTGTAATGTACCAGTTTTCTTGTTGTCATTCGCCATTGCCTGACCATTATCCGCCCACCCACCCTTCAAGCTGGATAGTTTTAAGTGATTGCCTCCTATGGTCATTCAGTTTCTCTTTGGAGCCTCTATTAGCCAGGACTTCTCATTACAGTATTTAGAATAGTTTCTTGATGTTTTGTTTGTAAGTTTTGCTGGGGCATGTAATCTCTGGAGTCTGTCTCTGTCTCTGTTTTTTTCCTCTGTTGTACTATTTTGATGTTTTGTAATAAAGTTCCTATTAAATTAAATGGTTCAGCTTGACTTCGCTCCCAGTTGCGTGCTTTGACTTGCCTTGGATCACAGTTTTCTGTGAGAAGTTCTAATTATTTTTTTCTCACTCAATAATTTTGAATTCTTTATTGTGTATCTTTATTACCAGGAATTGACAGGAATTTACAGAATTAATTATGACAGCAGTCTAAACCGGTCTAATGGCTTTCCGGTGTTTGCTACAGTGATTGAGGCCAATTACATTACCAAACAGGATGACAAATTAGCTGTCACGAGTTTAACAGATGAAGATGTCAAGGCTATTATTGATTTATCAAAGGATGAGAGAATTGGAGAAAAGGTACTAATTTGATATTATTTAAGGCACAAAACCAGAATTTGGTGTACAGGATCTTAACAACTTTAATGAAGCAATATTTGCTTCTTCATTGCATCTTAGAATTAGAAGGTTAAAAATAAAGTGAATTGAGACGTGCAACGCTATTCATGCTTGTAATAGTATACCTGCCAACTCTCACGCCTTAGGAGTGAGTCTCACTCCTGCGGGTTGAAATCTTCAATCTCACGCCGGCTCACGCTTGTGGGCCAATTTCTCACGCCTGATTGAAAAATGTGAGTTGTTGCCGTCTTGCTTGACACAATTTCCAAAAATATGTTAACTCAGACCCATGTAAGGAACGAAAACCATGTGTAAAATGAAGAAATGACAATACCTTCCTTGCGATCTCTGATTTTGTGGATAAGCATTTTCTCGATATCTTCACCTTCGGCAGACTTCGGAAGACTTCGGACTTCTTCGGGAATCTTCGGAAATGATCGTGCCGTCTCCAAAAATCCCAGCACTCCCAGGATAAAAATCTCACGCTTATAT